TGAAGCGGGATTACTAGTGCAATAGCCAATGGTCCTCTCACTGTAGTTTGCAACGCAATATTGTTAGCTGTTCAATCTCTTCCAATTGTTCAAAAAGCTTTCAATGCACATCCCAGTTGGTCGGTTTGTCCCTCACCTCCAGGCATCCGGCTGTCACACAGACTGTCTGGCCCACCTTCAGAGGTCAGCTTCCCGTCTTGAAGCGAAGGATAAAAGCTCTTGAAGCGAAGGATAAAAGCTCGGTGGAAGCTCGGTTGCATGGTTGCATCATCGTTGCATGTGTCTTTCATTGTTCGCTTTTCTTTAGGTATCCACACGGTGCTACACAACTGGAAAACGATGTCTTTGCAGCTCCAGAAAGACGAGCTTGTCGTTTCGTGATTGTGTAGGAGTCTAGGACAAACAACAGGTCTTCCTACTGCAAAAAGTGTGGAAAGCAAGATGCAATCACTGAGCACTGGGGAAGTGGTGTGTGGCAGTGGTATGAGTAGGGTCTACTATTATGAACCAGAAAGCAGTTTGTTGAAACAAGGTGGTCTTGCGTTATTTTTGCAGCCGTCAAGACTCGGCTCTGTTTTCTGAAGATAGTGAAGCTTTGGGCACACTCGTGTTGCATGCCTGATGTTTTGACATCCTTCTGCAGAATGTTTCTACTCAGAGAGACAACCATCCCATCCTGCATTGATGTTGATCCTACACCTATTGGACCTAGTTGACTCTACTCTTCAGACCCGTGCCTTTGGAAAGGTGGCCAAAGATGAGAAGCATTTGCCACAAAATATCCTGCAGCTTGCACCCCTTATGGATCTTTCAAAACAGCCATCACATACCAAGACTAATACACATGTCAAATTTGTCGTTCAGGTGTGAAAGACTTCAAGTGACCTCTCTATGCGAAGAAGGACTGCTGCACAACAAAGGACAAATTGAACAAATAAAACATTGTTGGATCGTTTTACTGTCCTACTTTCCCACATGACATCATATTACAGGAGATGCTAAGTAAAGGTGCTGGCCCACACATACAATATCAAACTTAGAATGTGTAATTCTGTGACACCCATTCCTTCACATAAGCTTGAACCCCAGGAAATCGGAATTCATGAATCAGGATTCAGATACAGGATGTCTGTTGAGGGAATGCGTTCCCGTTTGCTCCTCGCTCCTCATGACATGATTTGCCTGGTGATCACACCAATCACTTCGAGCAACGACAAGGTCTTCACCTTTCACGCGTTCAATCGCAGAGGTCAGTACCTCAGGACTCAGGGAGCCAGGTTTGCCGTGCAATGGAAGATCAGTGCGTGAAACTTGAGTGGCACCTGCTGTTGGTCGGTTGGCACTGTTTTGGGATCGGTTTGGGGGAAGAACTGCACAGAATCTAAATGTGCTCGCGCACTCTCTCTCTCTCTCTCTCTCTGATGTTCCAACACGTACCTGCAAGACTCAACAGCCACACACCGCTGCATTCAATGACAGTATGTGATTGCAAGTTCAAGCCACTCCAAGGGCCGTTCGTACTGTAACTAGTTTAGAGAGCATCCGTACTACCGTTTGCTCTTCTGCCATGCTTCGCACTTGGTGCTCGGCTGTGACATATGTTGCAAAAGCTGCCTCAGAGTACAGCTGTCATGTCACAAACGCCCGAATCAAGCGCTGAGCGACCAGCTGACTAACAGGGCTGGGATGGCCGTGCATCCAAAGTATATATAACCAAATATATAACTCCATCTGTTGGGTATAGAATGTGTACTGCCTTCAGGGGTACCCCCTACTCCCACACCTCCAAATATAATTATATATTTAGTTATTCTTAGGTGGTCAGGGTCATTTTTGGTTTATTATTTGGCTCCCATCAGTGTGTTTTCAAATAGTTATTTGTTGCTCAGCACACATGATGTAAAAAGCAACTTGAAAATCTATTGGAAAAATATGTTAAACACATTAGAGTGCAACCAAAAAATGTTGGCCTGAATTTACAACTTTTTTACAACCTCCATCAGTCATCCAAGATGTAGATATTCAGTACAATATTTGGGGGTGGTCTAGGTGTTCTTAGTAAACTATTTCAGGGTATACCTAACTGTTATTTATTAATTGAATCATCTCATACTCAAAAACTAACGTCTCAAAAAATTATATGAAAACAAGTATTTGGCGAACATACCCCACCCCTCCAAATAATATGTCAAGGAGGTAGCCATGGTATAGAGATTGCTGCTAACTCTGCTCGGACCGACACGCAACTCTTTGTGCAACTTGTTGTGAATCTTTCAGGCTATCACGGCCTTCCAGGTTTGCATGTTTGACCACTTGTATATACTTTGTTTACTTCACGCCAGGAAATGATCATGACTGACCGAAGCCAGGTGCGGTGAAGCAGCCAAGAATTCAAAGGAACCTGTAACATGAGTAACAATGTAACTAGTGCTAACATCCAACTCTGCATGCGCTGCTACTGACATTGTATGGAAAAGGTCCTTAGCAAATGCTGTTTATTGGTGTCGCATTTGCCACGACTTGACTTCAACAGTGTAAGTGATCCAATCAAGCAAGCGGAGAACATTCACCATCTTTCCCTCACTTCGAGCTGTTCAATTTCTGATATCCCTTGGTGTTACTTCAGTAACCCAGCCACTCAGAACGCCAACATAAATTTTCATCACTGAGTCCATCAATCTCATCATAGGAAGAAAAGTTTCACCAATCCCGATCTATGAAACGGGCACAACTGCCAAGAGTGTGAACAGGATAGGAAGGCAAACTGCTGCCACGACAGTCTTGCGCTCCACAAAGCTTCGAGAGCCGCATGCATGGCAGGCTGAAGAAGAACTTGGGGGGGGCTTCCACAGTAATGCCCCACTATCCGTCCAAAGCATCACGAAGACCCCCTGGCCACTCCCTGCTACGAGCTGCAGAGTGTGCACGCCGGCAAGCAGGACAATAGCAGTGGGACATGTCCAGCTGTCCAATCCGTCCATGAGGCTCGACCTGCGAGTGCAAAGAAATCCATCAGCCTCCTCCTCCTCCTCCTACTACTCCTACTACTACTACTGCTACTACTACTGCTACTACTACTACTACTACTACTAGCTTTCTTTAGGGCTTTCTTCTAGCGCATGCCTGCCTTGGAGAGGGGGAAGCGGAAGCGGCACTGACCACACTTGCAGCTGCCTGGCAGTTTTAATCAATGCCAAAGCCCTGAAGGACACAACTGTGGCCTTGGACCCACTTTGCCTCACTTCCCAATTTCTCTCTTTTCCTGCTGTCAATTCCAGATCACTTTATCATGAAGCACTTGGTAAGCCGACAAGCCTGCCAAGACGGTCTCTGTCGAAGTCTCGCACTCCTCAACCGAACTCTCACACACAATGCTGTCAATCCTGCTACATAGACAAGCTGGTCAAAGTCTGACGGGTTCGATGCATTTGAAGAAGCCATTTGTTTTTCATGTTTCTCCATTTCCGCGTCTTACCTCGTTTTGCGTTTGTCCTTGTCTATCTCTTCCTCTGAGAGGCGAACCTGGTGCTCAGGAGACAAAACACTCGGCAGCCTCCAAAAACCAATAGGAATCATTCATTTAGGATATTGTGCACATCCTCAATCATCCTCATGTCACAGTCACCCTGGAATCATCACTCATTTCATCGCGCTCGGTCATTGTTCGTCATTGCTCTGTCAACTTGGACCTTGAGGTGTGTGTTTCACAAGTGCATGCCCTGTCAGTATATGGGTGTTTATGGATCAATCATTGGGGACAGGAACATGAGAGCAAGAAGCTTCTAGTTTCGAGATGCACTTGTGAAGTTTCCCTAAAAATCCAGGAACCAAATGATTGTGAGTAGTGCGAGCGTGAGCTAGAAGCGTCCAAGTTTTTACCCTTACTTAATTAAGTAGGCGCCTATGGCCCGCCTACTTAATCAAGTAAGGAGGCAGGGCCACGGGCTACAACAAAAATCCCCACCAGCCTTGGCAAGACTCTCGGCCAAAGCATCGACATCCTCGCATCGTGCAGCTCACCAAGTTGCTACCACCGACCGAGAGGAAAACAACCAAGTGTTTCGCTCTCAAAGGGGGTACGATAGAGCTTTCATGGGTACTTGCAGCAGGGATTATTGGAGTAGCGCAAGTACCCCACCTGTTTGTGGCCTGTTTTTGTGAAGAAAGAGCGCACTGGTAGACATTGAACACCTTCTTTCTGTGGTTCAATCATTTGACTTCCTCAAATGACTCAAATGCATTCCTCGTTGCAATCAGACGTGCTACCTGTGTCTCTTGTGAGCCGTGATCTAACCTCCCAAGGGCCTCCCCTCAGTCCTCCGCCATTGTTCGTCTCACATCATCCGCTTGCTGCACAAAGCCAAGGAGTTGTCAAGATGCATTAATGCATCTGTCTAACCACACTAAGAGCAAAAGACTGTGAGGGCTGATGAGCAAAAGGACGCACAGTTTCAAATAACATCAAATTATATAACGTTGTTCAGAATGTCCGAATATATACAATGAAATATATACTCATGATCTGCTTGTTTGAGCTATACACTAGTCACTAGTGACTAGTCTTGGTGTAAACAATTTTTTCACCAAGTGCCTTTGACTCATATAGAACCAAAAGGCTGTCTGCAGAAAGTGAGCGATTGTGAGCTGCCTTTCACAGGCCGACTACTCACGTACACAAACTTAGCGTACAGCACAAACCATTTTACCAGCAGAGGTCACGTATCTTGACAAAAAACAGTCTAATAGTCTATGTGTTTGTATGATCTCCAACTTCAACTTTCTCTGCAAAATCTATCTCTTGATCGTGCACAGTATTATCATGTCCTAGCTCTGCGCCCATAGTCGGGACACCTTGAGATTGGTTTGTCCGTGAACACCTCCTTGTCTGGGCAGTTTCAGGTTCACCTGGCACCTTGAGATTCGTGTCGGAGTGTAGGACTCTTCGCATACTCTTCTCCTGACACCGCTGAGTCCGAGAGCTTCGACCCGCGCGACCAACGCTAGTAGATGAAAGGTACCAATTTCCATGGCGTCGAAGCAGCAAATGATCGCCACTTCTCTTTGAACACGTCTTCCAGGAGCTCTTCTTCTGCAGCAATCCGCCGTGAATAGAAGGACGCAGCCGCTGCAATCAAAAGACCACATCCAACCAAAGACTGCAGATCCAGGAGGCCACTGATGAAAAGAAGGAGGTAGGACGTGTAAATCGGATGTCGGACTAAGCGGTATGGCCCGGTGGTTACAAGCTGTGAGGACACTGCCACACGATCGTAATTCCTGCACAAAGCAAACCGTATGAGCAATGAGCAATGTGTTCTGCTTCAAATACTTTTGTTGAACCAAATTCTCAGCTTTGAAGTTGAAGACCCTGCAACTATTTGAGCTAGAATGGGCATCTCTTGAGTGTCCTCCCCAAGTGCCACGCTGCGCTGCCATTCAATACGATCGCGGCGAATCTTGGAAGCTGCCACCAGGAGCACAACACCTTTCGATGCCAAACAAACGTGGCTGCTGCAATGTTGTGCGCCATGAAAATGGCTAGCAGAAACAACCTGAGTGAAGGCTGTGTCTAACAGTCCGTTGAGCAGTTGCCACGAACTCACGTGTCTTCCCTTTGTCCCTGTTTGGGTGGTAGGCTACTACAAAAGAAAGGAACTAAGAAATCCAACATAATCCACCAAATTAGAATAATTCATAAGATATCTATTGAACCCCTACTAAAAGTAGAGGCCCTGCTCTTTCGTTTGATGTCGCTTGTAGGCATTATGTGTCATGAGGCAATAAGAACCAGTTTGCAACATGAAGCACGAGTAGGAGGCAGTACTGCTGTAAGGCCTACCTAGCCACAAGCAAAGCAACCAAGCAGCACAAAGTCCTGACGCCTTGTACCAGGTTTGCCTTTAGCAGGGCGCGCGTAGGTTCCAAATCGCCAGGCACGGGGAACAGTCCCGACTAAAAAAAATGCCAGATATTCAAATGGCATCAAACCCAAGGCCCATCCACCACAAAGGTGAGAGGATGCAAGGCCAGCTGGAAGGAGCAGGAGCAACCAAATGGCTAAACAAAGCTGTATAGGCTGCAAGAGCCTTTCTCCTAGAGATAAACGACGCCATCGTCCTTCACGATCGGTGCTATCTGTGCCATCGGCGCCGAGGCCGATTCCAGGTCGCCTTCCTCGTAAATGCGACAGGCGTGGGGCAGGGAAGTGAGATCTCCTAGCATCAAAGAGTAGGCGAGCGTTTCGACTAGGACCAACAGGTGACAAAGGCCAACGAACGGAAACTGTGGCAGGACTCGAAATCATGGCTGGACTTAGGCCTTGAATGAATAGCTGACTGCGGTCAAAAAATGACATTCCCTGCAGCTATCATCAAGTGGGCGCTCAACTCGACAACGCATAAATTAATTGATATAAATTGACATAATTGACACCTTTTTCAGCACGATCTTCATGCTTTGAGTTGCCACCGCAAGCGCAACTTTAGCGCTTCATCGGCATGAGGGGTTGCGAATCGCGGCTGGTAGCCGGCTATGTAAGTCCAAAGGTCGGCTACCAGGGTGGGCCCCGATCAGCTTCTCTTTGCTGTGTCTCGTGCCGGCGCGCTCTCGTCACCTGCGCCAAGGAACTTCGTGGACTGCAGGGTCAAACACTGGAACTCAATGAGAAGTACCCCATGGGAAAACAGTGGTGCTTGAAGTGTCCGCTGCTTTGTTCCGCCGCCTCCAGTTTTCTGCCGCCTCTCAGACTGGGACCGTCCAACCAAATGGACCTAGAAAACAAGGCTGAACAAGTTGGCGTGTGGGAGAATGCAGAGTGCGAGAGAATCTGAGAACTCTGGCGTCTTTCTATTCAGCTTCAAAAAAAAAGTTCTTTGTCGCGTGTGTGTCTGACTTTAAAATGGAATGGAATTGGATGAAGCAATCCACATCTGGTGTATATAACCTAAATCTGGAAGTTCGACCACACCAAAGAGTGTGTGTGAGGCTTGACTGCCAAATATCTACAGCATTCCACAGCAATGAACCTCCATCTGAGGCTTTAGCAGCTGCCCACACAAAAGGTGTATGTGCTGCAAGACCCAAACCTTCCGAGAGCCCCCCGTGCACTCTGGAAAGGTGTCACGACATCCTGGAAATGCCATGTGGATGCGGTGTTTGCTGTGGAGCTTGGTCTTATGATCCCTATCCATTCTGGGGGGGGGACCTGAAAAATTGTAACTTACATTTTCCCCTAACATAGACCTAACAACATGTAAGTTACATTTGTTAGGCAAACCACCAAAAAAAGTAACTATAATACAAAAATGTAACTAAATAGGGGACAATAATGTAAGTTACATTTTTCAGGCCTTTTCCAGGGAAAATGTAACTTGCATTAAGTCACATGTCAGGCTGTTTGTGTGAGGCTGTTTGTCCACTATATCCTGGGTCATTGTGGAACATACATGGACCTGACTCCCAAAAGAAAATGTAACTTAGGTGTGTCCAGGCCTGGGATATGTGCAATTTCACCTGGTATGTGATGTGTGAAGTTGGGTTTGGTTAATTTAAGTGTTCCTTTCTTTGCTAGGTTGGTTGTGTTTTGGGGTGTGTGAGGTTGTTTGTCCTTTGTATCCTGGGTCATAATGGAACATATATGGACCTGACTCCAAGAACAAAATGTGACTTAGGTCCTTAGGTGTGTGTGCAGGCCTTGGATGTGTGCATTTTCACAAGCCTGTCCACCTGGTGTGTGCTTTGGTTGTCTTGCTCTGTTTTGGTGTTGTGTGAAGATACTTGTCATTTATTGGTTGGGTCATGTTGGCACATGTATGGACCTGACTCAACAAAATGTAACTTAGGTGTGTCCAGGCCTGGGATATGTGCAATTTCACCTGATATGTGATGTGTGAAGTTGGTCTTGATTACATTTATGCCTACCTTTCTTTGGTGGGTTTGCTGTGTTTTGGTGTTGTGTGGGGCTGTTTGTCCTTGATATCCTGGGTCATAGTGGACCATACATGGACCTGACTCCCAGAACAAAATGTAGCTTAGGTGTCCAGGCCTGGGATATGCGCAATTTCACCTAGGCAAACATCACGGACCAACTATGTGGTAGGTCAACAAACAAGAAGCCATCATAGAAACATCTGCAGCATCTCGCGGCTGGTCTACCGCCAGAACATGGAGAGACTATCTGCGCAATGGGGGGGGCCTGTAAAATGTAACCGTCAGCCTTGCAGAGTCCAAGTTACAATTTCCACACCCCCCCCCCCAGTCCTTTTTTTGCTGACAGTCACGATCACATCTGCACCGCGGGGGGGGGTAAAATGTAACATAAAGGCCTCGATAGTCCGGGAGGTCTGAAAATGTAGCTATAGACCTGGCAGACCCCCTCAAATCCATGGTTAAGGGGGTGGGGATGTCTTATGAATGACCTGGATTGACTTCTCATTGATTGCCTGAAACCCAACCAACCCATCCTTGAGAACCACTTCAAAACTTCAATATAGAACCTGGGATCAGTGGCCACGTGATTGTCGAGACCGAAGGATCCCTCAAGGAGACTCCGAAGGATCGTGGGAAGGACCGACCGTGATCGTTGGAAGTAGCCATGCCCTAGCTACTAGTAGCGTCCTTGCTACTACTAGCGATGGCCTCCAACCAACTTGC